AAAATGCATGCAACACTACTCTATATGGATATGGTTTGGCGTTAGACGAATCCTCCCCCAGACTTGAACTGGACACTGTCCTCGGTGTCAAATCTCGTCTAGTAGAGGCAACCAATAAGATGAGTCAAAAGAGAAGAAAATCCAAAAGAAAAAAGAATACTGAGCTCGCGATGTTTGTTCACTCGCACTTAAGTCTGCCTACATCTATCGCATAGCTAGCTTCCTCGCCTCCTCAATTCCTCATTAGAACTCAACCTGGTGATAAGAGACACAAACCAATATCCGATGCAAAAAGAAAAAAAAAGAAAAGAAAAACTAACCTACAAATTCGGGTTGCCTCCCGGGAACGCTTGTTTAGGGTCTTTAGCTTGACCAAACTCTCTCAACTACCAGATAGGTCTAATGGGCGAATATTATCGATCTTCTGCCAACCTGGATCATGAAGTTTAAGAGCATCTCTACAACAAAATGAGTTTGAGAAACGAGGTGTACCTAGTAGAGAAAAATCTGTTGGTCTGAACATATTGATGAATGCCGGTTGAAACTCAAAATTGTTACCGTCTATATCAGGCCGACGAATGCGTGAAAGCTGCTTAATGTACTTAGGCTGAAGGTATGCCCCATAAGTGTCATTGTTGTTCTCATCAACTATAGCACGTTCCTCTGTCTTTCTTTGTTGTTGTTTCTTCTTTCGATTGCGTTTAATGGAGTTCTCGATTTCAGGGGAAGAGGTACTAGGTTGTCAGGCCCAGAACTTCTGGTCATACACCGGAATCCTGCACACCAGAAAGTAGAACAAACACAAAGAATAGATCAAGAAATCGAGGGAAAAGAAAAAGAAAAGAAAAAAAATCTAGATTCAAAGGAATCTTTATCCTAGCATTAATCTATTCCCCGACAACGGTGCCAAAAACTTGATCACGCAAATCTAGGTATAGAAATAAGCTCAAGTAATAAAAACCTAGATACAGCGAATACCGCAAGGATACGGATCAACTGTAGTACCAAGGTCGAGCATAGAAAATAATGATGGCTCGGAATTTACTTGGATTTTATACGACTATGCCTTTGGTTCCTAAACGGTTTCCACACACTCTTAGGCATTTTTAGAGCCCATTTAGCCTTTCGGGACTATCTTTGTGGTTTTGGCAGGTCTACGAGGAGAATTGCAGATTTTGACGTAAAGCAAGGTAGCCAGGGACTTAGATCGGACTGAATCGACGTCGGTTTAGCCGAACCAGACACCCGAGGATCTGGAGACGTTGCACGAGACATGTAGGCCCAGACCACTGCACAGGAACCGAAACGGAGAGCCGAAAGAAGGAGAAAAGGTCTGACCAATCAGTCTAGATTAAGACCGATCGGTCTAGACGACCCAGCCGGAACGGTCCAGAGCTCGGTCTAGAGAGAGACATCTCGCCGAAAGAACAGAGCCTGGACCGATCGGTCCAGGCATCAACCCATTCCAGACCGATCAGTCCGGAGAAGAAAGGAAGCGCCGAGAAAACGAGCCCTGGACCGATCGGTCTACACCCAGACCGATCGATCCAGGCATACAAACAGACTAAAATCGCGAGTTTCGCGATTTCTAGGGCATTCCGAACGTAGGGCACGAAAGGGCAACCGTTTTCTCTCATTTTTGAGACTTAGGGCCGAAATCTTGAAGGGAAACCAAGGAGATTTGCTAGAGATTGAAGATTGAAGACATTATTGAGCATTTCTCTCCCCTTTCTCTATGTTTCATCTTTTAGATTTGGTACTCTTGAACATGAGTTGTGAGTAGTTTCCTTGTTGTGGGATGAGGGATTAGCCCTCATGTAAGGATGCTTGTATTCACCTTTGGACCCAAGATTATGTATTGTTTATGCTTTCAAATCCTTGTATTGAATGGAATTTGTGTTCTTCAAGTTTATCTCTCTTGAATGAATGTTTAGGGAAACCTAGGATTTGTTGAATTGAGTAATGCAATTGCTTGGGGTTTGATTGCTAGAGTTCATTGAATGGTGTTTAGTGCGTCCCATTGGATGAAAATCTCTTGGGTAGAATTTATGATTGAGAATTTCATGGAGACATGGGTTCTTGATTCTTGGTGCATTCGTTGAAATGGGTTGAGATTGAATGCGAAGAAATTCGATTCAATCCAACTTAGGATCGTGACAAGGGAATTTAATGCATTCGGGATTTTACTCTAAGCCACGAAAATGGAGAGAGTACTCTCTTGGATAGCGGGTTTTCGGTTTGAGAGAACCGAACCCGACCTTAGTCTTGGAATCCCTCACTTTAGAACAAGCATGATTTAGGTCCACAATTCCTTACCGCATCCTTGCATGATCGGTGAATCCCGATTCCCATAACCTCTTTCATCGACTATCTTTCTTGAACATTGCTTGCTTGTTTTTATTTTCTTCTTGTAATTTTCTGCAATCTTTAAAAAAAACCAACAAAAACAATTCTCCAATTTTATTTTTACCATTTTCCTAGTTTTAGTCGATTCCTAGCTTAACCGCTTAAGTTCTTGTGTTCGACCCCGGTACTACGACATCCGTATACTTGCGGATTAGTTGTGTGTCGGGTATAAATTTAAAGCTCGTCACGCAAGTGATCAAGTTTTTGGCGCCGTTGCCGGAGACTTTTTACGGTTTCCATAACTAGGATAGATTGACTCTAGGTTAGTCTTTCCGGAGTCTTTGATTTTTTCGGTTTGATTTTTGTGTGTTTGTTCACTTCTTTTTTCTTTGTGTGTTTGTGTGATTTTTATTTTTCTCTTGAGTCAATTTTTCTTTATTTCTTTTATTTCTTGATTTTTCTGTTTTTATTTTTTACTGTTTGTATTTCCCTGGACTTTTCTGGACTTTTTCTAGATTTTTCGGGATCTCTCTGGACATTTTCAGATTTTTCTGGACTTTTTCGGATTTATTCTGGACATTTCTTGGACTTTTCTGAATTTTTCTAGATTTTTCCTGATTTTTCTGGACTTTTCCGGGACCGTTCTGGATTTTATCGAGTGTCTCTCCTTACTCTCTGCCTTTTTATTCACTTCGATTTACATTCTCTGCCTTTTTCTGGACTTGAATTTTTGCAGATTCCCTTAGTGCATGAGCAGACGTCCTACTCGAAGACAACTCGATCCAGATTTTGAGCTTGCCTTTGACCCGGACATAGACAGAACAGAAAGGGAAATCCGCAGAAAACAAAGAGAGGACAGAATGGCAGAAGAGGCAGCAAGGGGTGAAGCGCGCCAAGAGAGCACGTCCGTGCTAATCCGCAGACGCTCGGAATGTACACGACGACCAAGCATATTCAGTTGCTCTCGTGCATCAACCGACCACCCTTAGATCATTTTGAGCTGCAACCACAGTTTATTCAGATGTTGAATCAGATGAGCTTCAGAGGGAGATATAATGAGGATCCGAATTCTCATCTTACGCAGTTCAAGATGCTCTGTCGAACCATCAAGAAGTCGCCGGGCGTGACAATGGAAGACGCGATGATCGAGGTATTTCCCTTCTCTTTGATGGATAAGGCACGGGATTGGCTCTACACCTTAGAGCCAAATTCCATTTCTACATGGGATGAGATGGAGGAGAAGTTTATGATAAAATATTACTCTCCCATGAAGACACAGTTGGCGCTGAACAAGATTAACACATTTGCCCAAGATGATGATGAGACCTTGTATGATGATTGGGAGAGGTTCAAGGAGTATCAGAGAATGTGTCCGCACCACGGTATGGACAACAAGTATCTCCTCTCTACTTTTATACATGGTCTTAGGGACGACACGAGAGGATGGGTTGATGCAGCATGCGGAGGCAGCGTGTATGATCTCTCTTTCGAGGCTTTAGAAGTGCAGATTGCTAAAATGGCGAAAGGGAGAAGCATTTCGGGGGAAATGGGCAGCAGACGATCTTTGCCTAAGGCTGATGTTAAAGGGGATGCCAGCGAGTCTTCGGCTTTACAAGTCGTTCTTTCGGAGCTTTCTGCCATCAAGCTGCAGCTTGCTAGGTCCGGTTCATCAAACCCACAGAAGGGTAAACCGGGCATGTACATGGTGGAACAAGCAGAAGAAGCCATGAAAGAAATCGACTATGTGGGAAGAAATCAATATAACAATCAGTCGAACTTCTACAATCCGGGGAATCGGAATCACCCTGGCTTTTCCTATGGCAACCCGCAAGGAGCGTTGAACCCTCAGCGTCAAAGCAGAGCGAAACCTCAGGGACCCCCCGGATTTCAACCTAGATACCAGAATCAGGGCTACCAGAGTCAGAATCAGGGGTATCAAAATCAGGGCCAAGACTACAATCAGAGAAATCAAGGATACAAAGCCCCCTCCGCCTCAGGCTAAGGAAGAGGAGTCAGAGTTAAAGTCGATGTTAGCCCAGTTAATGCACGATCAGAAAAACTCGTTTTCCAGCTTGGGTCAAGAGATGCAAGGATTCAAAGGGAAGCAAGAGAGCTTCGAGCAGAGATTGGATGGGTTGGATTCACATATCAAGATGATGGACAATCAGATTGCTCAGCTTGCTTCCCAGGCAACGAGACCTCAAGACCAATTCCCGGGTAAGGCTGATCCTAACCCGAGAGAGCATATTAATGCCATAGGCTTGAGAAGCGGAAGACAGCTTCCGGAGACCTCCCCAATTGTCAGAGAAGAGGGAGAAGGTTCACACGAACCACAGAGGGCCGCCTTAGATAAAGGCAATGGCCATGTTGTAGAGGGGGAAGAGGCGAGGTATACTCCGCCTCCCCCACAGACACCTCCTCTACCATTTCCATCTCGGGCAAGGAAGTACAACAAAGACAGCCAGTTCGCCAAGTTTATCGAGATGCTGAAGAAACTAGAAGTGACCATGCCGTTTCACGAGGTAATGCTTCAAATCCCGTCCTACACCAAATTTGTGAAGGATATTCTTACGAAGAAGAGGACGGTTGAGAAGGAGACAGTGGCACTGAGCACCGAGGTGAGTGCTGCCATACTGCAGACAGAGTTACCGCGGAAGATGGTTGATCCCGGTAGTTTCTCCATCCCGTGCAAATTGGGGAATGTGGAGATTGAGAGGGCGCTTTGTGATTTGGGCGCAAGTGTCAGTTTGTTGCCTCTCTCCATATTCAAGAAACTTAATGTCGGTGAGCTGAAACTGACAAGGATGGCACTGCAATTGGCCGACCGATCAGTGAAGTATCCCACTGGGATCTTAGAGGATGTGCCTCTTAAGATAGGGAAATTCTATGTCCCCGTCGACTTTGTGGTTCTAGACATGCCGGAGGCTTCCAAAATCCCCATCATACTTGGTAGGTCGTTTCTGAACACGGCCGATGCTGTAGTGCATGTTAGAGAAGGGAGACTCACGATGAAGATCGGAGATGAGACGGTTGAATTCAGGCTTGATCATAATCTCAAGCAGCCGCATTTGGTAGAGTCTTCCTTCTACCTAGACCTGATCGACACGTTGATCGACGAAGTGAGGGATGAATTTAGAGAGTCAGATCCCCTCGAGATGGCATTGAACGCGGTACAAGACAGCATGTACTGCGATTGGGAGGAAGTCCGGAGCATTGTTCGGACTTTAGATGACAGCTCATCGATTGAGCTAGAGAGCTGGAAATACAGGGCCGTTGAGTCCTTATCTTGTTGTGCCAGCGAGTTCCCTTGGCTAAGGGACGAGGAAGACGGAGAGGAGCCATCACCTTCTCCAAGTCATCAAGCTCCGGTCTCCTCCATTCAAGTCAAGCAGCCCGATGTGGAGACGAGCGGGAAGAAAGATTGGGATCCAGAGAGCGCGCCTAAGGTGGAATTGAAGCCCTTACCACAAGGGCTTAGGTATGAATTTCTCGGACCTAATTCTACTTACCCGATCATTGTGAATGCTGCCTTGACTGATGTGGAACTATCTGAATTAGTTGCATGCTTAGGGAGTATAGACAAGCCTTGGGTTACACTCTAGATGACATTAGAGGCATTAGTCCATCCCTTTGCATGCACCGCATTCATCTAGAAGATAGTTCCAAAACCTCCATTGAGCATCAACGTAGGTTGAATCCCACCATGAAGGAGGTAGTGAAGAAGGAAGTGCTCAAATTGTTAGATGCGGGTATCATTTACCCGATTTCGGATAGTGCATGGGTTAGTCCCGTGCAAGTTGTACCAAAGAAGGGGGGTATCACTGTGGTAGAAAATGAACATAATGAATTGATACCCACTAGAACGGTTACGGGTTGGAGAATGTGTATTGATTATAGGAAGCTGAATTCCAACACCCGTAAAGACCATTTCCCGTTGCCCTTCATCGACCAAATGCTAGAGAGGTTAGTCTTGCATTCCCACTTTTGCTTTCTTGATGGCTACTCGGGATTCTTCCAAATCCCCATTCACCCTAGCGACCAGGAGAAAACTACCTTTACATGTCCATATGGCACCTTTGCATACCGTAGGATGCCATTTGGTTTATGTAATGCACCGGCAACATTTCAGAGATGCATGACTGTTGTGTTTTCTGATCTCATCGAGGATGTTATGGAGGTGTTCGTGGATGATTTTTCTGTCCATGGGCCCTCCTTTCCCGTGTGTCTAATGAATTTCCGCCGAGTGTTGGACAGGTTTGTTGAGGTGAACCTTGTGCTGAATTGGGAGAAGTGCGACTTCATGGTCCAAGAGGGCATTGTGCTAGGCCACAAGATTTCGAGAAGAGGGATAGAGGTTGATCGAGCAAAGGTTGAGGTGATAGAGAAGTTGCCGCCTCCAAGGAATGTTAAAGGAATCCGGAGTTTTCTGGGACATGCCGGGTTCTACAGGAGGTTCATCAAGGACTTCTCGAAGATTTCGAGGCCTTTGACCGAACTACTTGCAAAGGACGTGCCTTTTGAGTTCACCCATGTTTGTCAGGTCGCCTTTGAAACTCTGAAGAAGGCATTGATCTCTCCACCCATCATTCAGCCACCGGATTGGGAAGCTCCCTTTGAGCTTATGTGCGACGCTAGCGATTTTGCAGTGGGGGTTGTTTTGGGTCAGAGGAGAGACAGACCACCGGATTGGGAAGCTCCCTTTGAGCTTATGTGCGACGCTAGCGATTTTGCAGTGGGGGTTGTTTTGGGTCAGAGGAGAGACAGAAAGCTCCACGCCATATACTATGCGAGTAGAACGTTAGACGATGCTCAGATGAATTATTCTACAACCGAAAAGGAGCTACTCGCCATAGTATTTGCCTTTGAGAAGTTTCGGTCTTATTTTGTCGGTTCGAAGGTGATCGTCTATACCGACCATGCTGCCTTGAGATATCTCCTATCCAAGAAGGATGCCAAGCCGAGGTTAATCAGATGAATTCTCTTGCTGCAAGAGTTTGACTTGGAGATCAGAGATAGGAAGGGTACAGAGAATGGAGTGACCGACCACTTATCTCGGATTGAGCGACATGAAGATATTGCCATTGATGATTGTCTCCGAGATGATTGCGTGATGGCTGTCCAAGTGAAAGAGAGAGACCCGTGGTATGCTGATTTTGTGAACTTCATTGTTAGCGGGTATGTCCCCCACGAGCTGGATTACAACGGAAAGAAGAGGTTCTTCAAGGACATCAAGGATTATTTTTGGGAAGAACCTTACCTCTTCAAGAGAGGCAAGAATGGCCTCTTTAGGAGATGTGTGCCCGAAGAGGAAGTCTGTAGTTTGATTCATCATTGTCACTCTTCGGACTATGCTGGTCATTTTGGAGCATCGAAGACCTCGGCTAAAATTCTTCAAGCCGGGTTCTATTGGCTTTCAATGTTTAAAGACGTTCATCAATATGTCTCATCCTGTGATGTTTGCCAGAGAACGGGGAACATCTCCCGCCGCCACGAAATGCCTCAACGATATATTTTGGAAGTTGAACCATTCGATGTATGGGGCATAGACTTCATGGGACCGTTCCCATCTTCTTATGGGGACAAATACATCCTTGTGGCGGTCGATTATGTCACCAAGTGGGTAGATGACGAATCCCACTAACGACTCGAAAGTGGTGACAACGATGTTCAAGAGGGTGATTTTTCCGCGGTTCGGGACGCCAAGGGTCGTAATTAGTGATGGAGGATCTCACTTCATCAACCGCACCATAGAAGCGCTTTTGAAAAAATATGGTGTGAGACATAAGGTGGCTACCCCGTATCACCCTCAGACAAGCAGACAAGTTGAAGTTTCAAACAGGGAGATCAAGGCGATACTTGAGAAGACGGTGTCAAGGTCAAGGAAAGATTGGACGTCCAAGCTTGATGACGCCCTATGGGCGTATAGGACAACCTTCAAGACACCCATCGGTATGTCTCCCTTCCAACTTGTATATGGGAAAGCTTGTCACTTGCCGGTTGAGCTTGAGTATAGGGCATATTGGGCAATCAAGAAGCTGAACTTTGATTGGAAATCCGCTGCGGAGAAGCGAGTGTTACAGCTTCACTAACTCGATCAGATTCGGTTGGACGCTTACGAGAATGCCCAGATTTACAAAGAGAGGACTAAGAGATGGCACGATCGTCGGATTTTGTAGAGAGAATTTAGAGCGGGCGATCAGGTACTCCTCTTTAATTCAAGGCTCAAACTATTTCCAGGGAAGTTGAGATCGCGTTGGTCGGGGCCTTTCACGGTTAAGCACGCCTACCCTCATGGAGCGATAGAGTTATATGGCTATGGAGGGGATACATTCAAGACCAACGCGCAACGGTTGAAGATTTATAACCCCGGGGAGCATGAAAAAGAGAGGAGCTCGATGAGCTTCTCTAATCCTCAAGACGATGAGCAACCCCACGGTCAAGCTTAGGACCATAAACAAGCGCTCTCGGGAGGCATCTCGAGGCTTGTATATATCCTTTTTCGTATCCTTTTTGCATTACATTCCTTTACATCTATGATCATTTAGATATTCTCCTTCTTGGATGGATGCTCTCTCTTGGTATTATGATAAAAAAAAAAATTGAGGATGGGTTTGAGTTGCTTGATGTGCAGGGAGAAGTAGGAAGCGGAAAAACGGAGAGATTTCCTGCCCAGGGGCCGGGACCGATCGGTCCAGACTGGAACCGGTCGGTCCAGGCAGTCGATCCAGGTAATCGGTCCGCCCAAAAAAAAAGCGAAGAGTAACATAGACCGATCGGTCCAAGTGCTGTACCGATCGGTCCACGCGTACCAGCAGCTTCCCAAGACTGATATTAAGAGGTAAGGAGAGAGAGTCGGTCCACACACATCTCCGGTCTTCGCCTCTCACCGCCGCCTCGCCTCCCTCCAAGCTGTCGGAGCACGCCCGCCACCGCCGCTCTCTCGCTCTCTTTCTCTCTCTCTCTGTCTCTCTCGTTCTCATTCCTTCCATCTCTCTTTCTCTTTAGAATCTCCATTGAAGCGCAGAAGGTAAACTCCGAAAATCCCTCTCGATTTCTAAGTTGTTTCATGGATTTGATGCCTCATTTTTGCAAAAACAACTTAGACTAGGCTAGATCTAGAGGATTTAGGGAAGAAATAAGGAGATTCTGGGGAAAAATGATGGATTTCAGGCTGAATCTTCGAAGGAATCGCCGGAACTCGCAAAGGGGAAGAAGACGACGCCTGGACCGATCGGTCCAGGTGTGGACCGATCGGTCTAGGGTAACGAAAAAAAAAAGTTCTGGACCGATCGGTCCAGTACTTAGACCGATCGGTCTGGACACCTGTTCATGAGAAATTTCACATTTCGCGACTCGATCGGTTTAACCTCACCACCGCTCGATCCGCGAACCCGTGAGACAGTGTTGTTCAGCTTCTGTCGCCCTTACATACCGATTAACCTTGCTCACCATGTCCATTTCTGTGGTTGATCGTGTATACTTTTCAGATGCCGCCGAAGCCCATGAGAGACCGTATCCCGCCCGGCTTAGAGCGACCATTTGTACCCGATGATGCGATCCGTGGGCTCACAGATCTCGAGCCAATCGAGGAGGTCAGAGGAGACTTGCTATCTCAGGACCTGACTCCCGACGAGCGATTATTGCGGTCGATGATCATTTATGCTGGCATACGGGCTACCAAATTCATCAGCCCGGAGATCGCGCTCATGGGCCTGTAGGATCAAGTCCGCTTCCTTCTTAGTCAGCTCGAATGGAACGGATTCTGTGAAGCGAAGGAGCACACGTACTATCATTTGACGGCAGACTTCCTCGCAACCTACCGTTGTTGGTTCCATACATCCGTATCAGTCGAAGACCCATACTTTACATTCCGGATTTTGGGAGAGACGTACTGCCTCACGATGGCAAACTTAGCGGAGGCCCTAGGGATTTCTCCAGGACGCACAACGCTCCAACCGTGTATTTCAGATGCCGCATTGACTGAGTTTTGGGCGACGATCGGATCGGGAGAGTGGAAAGCGGGGAAATCGAAGGCAACCATGATCCGACATCCAGCAGTGAGATACCTCCACATGTTCATATCTGGAGGATTATTCGCCCGGAAAGACCAGGGCAACGTGACAGAGTTTGAGCTTATGTTGCTGCGACATGCACTCCGTGACTCATTCGGAGACTCAGACTGGGGCGTAGGAGACTGATACACGCCTCGGCTACGAAGTAGAAATCTCGATGAAGTGATGGAACCAAAGATCAATCACCGGCACTCTCTTGGAGGCACTCGAACTCAATCTCGGGTTAACAATGGATTTCGAAGTGGAAATGGTATCTAGCTCAATCACCGGCACTTTCAAGGCTCTCGAATTCAAGCTAGATAGAATATGGATGGAGATTGGATCGAAAGAATGATAGAAACCTCGGACAAACCAAGGGTAATCTCGGACATACCAAGATAGGGCTCTCGGACACACCAAGAGAGACAATCGGACAAACCGAAAGGAGAGCAAGCTTTAGCTCGAAAATAAACTCTTTTGATTAAGCAAATCTGATCTCAAATGAGTTCTTACAACATATTTATAGAGGATTAAGTAGGTAGCAACAACTAGAATTACATTAATGCAAGTCTACATGCAAGAGGGGTAGGAGCCTATGCATTTAATAAGGTAGGTGGGAAGAATATAGCTGTTGGGACTTTGCTTGCAGCTCAAGAAGCTTCCTTTTGCATGTAGGGTTCGGCCATGATGGTGAAGACGTGATGCAGGCCATGTCGGGGTGCGTCGGCCTCGTCTTCGTCCCGTATCCCGCTCAAGACTTGATCAACGACGCCATATAGTAGTTGACGAAGTGCTCGAGTTTTGGCCCGAGTGATTGGCGGCTCGGTCCTAATGTATGCTCGTGGGGCACCCTTCGCGTGATGGTCGTTGTCGAGCTTTGCGGGATCAAGTGATCGTGTAACGTCTTGATCACTTGACATGTCCAAGGGCTGGTCGTCGGTTGATTGCTCCGAGATAGGTAGTCATAGTGTCTTGCTAGAGACCGCCTATGACTTGTATTACCGGAATGGAGATTCTGCGTTTTACTGCTATTCCGGATGAGCCTACAGGGTCAGACACAATAGGGATGGACAAGTACGTGTGCTAAATTATCCCGATTAGGAATCCTAATTGGATTGAGATTCCTAATTGGAATAGGAATCCTAATGGGATTAGGAATCCTATTATGCATAGGAATCCTAATGAGATTAGAATTCTATTACATCTAGGAAACCTAATGAGATTAGAATTCTTTGGGAAACCTAATTAGATTAGGATTCCTAGTAATCTATTCCTTGTCAAATTAG